GGATGGGGAAGGGAGGGGAGGAGAGAGGGGGGGAGGGAGGGCAAGGAGAGGGAACGGGGATTCTTCTGACAAACACAATTTACATTGAGATCTCCCTGTGCTGCTATTTACTTTGAGATCTGATTAGTATGGGTCGTCTACGGTCCTTCTACCCCCCCCCCCCCCCCCCCACCACACCCTTGACCAGAGGACGATGCATGGCGATAGGTAGAAAGGGGGAATTAAAAGGAGCTCCCCATGAAAAGTTAGTGTGAGGTTTTTTTGGTTTTTTTCAACCTCCACGTCGGAAGCCGGGATTTTTCTCCTGCTTTCGCATTGCAAGAGCCAGTCTAGGGGGTTAAATGATGGAGAAGAAAACACTCGCGCTGCATGGAGGAAGCGGCGCACTTGTGGGTGCACCCTTGCATACACACGTGCGTGAGCGTCCACGCACATATTCACATCCCCATATGTGCTCTCATCTCACCTTGGGCTATTTTTGCCGCCTGTCCCTTCTCCCTCACCCCTCATTCCTCACCTGACACGCCCACCCGCGGCCCTGAAGGACGCCGCGCTTCCCCCGGGGGGTTCATCCCCTCCCCTTTAATTTTACTTTCGGGGTGTTTGAGCAGTCAGAACAGCCCGAAACGCCCAGCACGCAATGCCCTCCCCCCAGAGCCCCTGATCTCCCAAAGTGAGTCACGCCGCGTAGGTACGTGGGATGCGCGGGGGGTGGTGGTGGGGTGTCGCTCCCTTTCCTTTCTCTCCGCTCCCCTCCGCGGCCCGGTGCGGCCTCGGCCCCAGCGGAGCAGGAATCGCTGACGCCGGCTGCCATCTAGTGGGCATCGAGCCGTCGGGCCGGGGGAGCCCTGGGGGGGCCGCCGAGGCTGTCTGCGGCCTCTCAGAACCCCCCCTTCCCTCTTAAAAAAAAAAAAAAAATTCTCTCGGTTTTAAAATTTTTAATATAAAACTGCGTTGGAGAGAATAACCCCTTCTTTCTGGTTTCTACCTCTCTCACTAGCCTGCGTTCCTGGCAGCTTCCCTTTGCCAGAAGTCTGAAATCAGGTTGAAAGACTGCATGTGAAAAAGAAGAAACAGACTGTAGAAACTGAACCCCCTAACAAAAAAAAAAGCCCTTCAAAAATAACACTCACAGCCTGCTCTACTGGACACCCTACCCTGCTCCTAGCTCCCATTAAAGTTTATAATCAGATTAGAAGCTGCATGAAAAACCTGCCGGAAGGAAGAAAAGGGGTGAAATAGATGACAGAAGTTTTATTGTAATTATTTATTTTTGTAAAGTAATGTTGCTTAATTAAGAGTGAAGAGAAAAAAAAAAAGGCCCCTAACTTTGATGTATCGTGATCACGATATTTTCTTTCTTTCCCTGTCAGCTCTGAAATCTGAGACTGGGAGCCGCCTGGAGAGAAGAATCCTTCATCATTTCTGAGATCAGAATAAACGCTTGATTTTGCCCCGAAATAATGAAGAGATTTTCAATGAGTGCCTTGACCAAGCCGTCTCTGTTGTATATTGCATTGATAAAAAGGATGTTATTGACTATGCAACAGTAGGCTTCTTTCCTCTCTCTCTCTTTCCAAATAAACTCTCGGTCCTGTCTTTTGGTCAGTGAAAAGGTGAAACGAATAAGATTAAATAGGACAAAAAAAGCAAGCTTGGTATGTATATCATCTAGATTTTACTTCCCAGACTGTGAAGAGGCGCGGAGTAAAAGAGGCAGAGCAAGGCACGGAGAGAGAGAGGGGGGAGAGAGAGAGAGAGAGACAGAGACACAGATACAGACAGAGGCAGAAAGCCTGAGAGAAGGTGGACGGATTCAGCAGCAGCAGCCTGGCTCCTCCCGGACCGGGCACCCTGCCGACGGCCCCGACTCCCCGGGCCACCCCAGGCAAGTCGCCGCTTCTTTCCTCGTGGTTTCGGGGCGGAGGGAGGGGTGTGGAGCCGCGACACTTGGCGGGGAGACCTTCCCCAACCTTCCCCCACCCCTAGGCTACCCCCCGCCTCACCCACTGGCCTCATTCAATTTGGGCATCCCGTTATTTGGGAGCAGTGAGAGGCGCATAGTACTCATTTTGTCCGAGATTTTCTCTCCCCCCTCCTTTCCCTTCCCTTCCCCTTTCTCCCTATAGAAACATGTGTGGGTATTTCCACTGCCCCCCTCGCCAGATAATGAGCGTGTCTCGCAGAGGTGACCCACGCGGGTAAGGCAGGCACCGACCCCACATCCTAGCTTCAGCAGCAGAGGCAGGGTGCCGGGACGGGGAAGTGCAAGCATGCTATCGGTCTTCTCTTTCACCTGCTCTGTTACTTGATCACCTAATGAAAAGATCGATTGCGGCCTGTTTATCTGGGTGATAGTGTCAACAGATTACAAGGACAGCAATCAGATATTTCTCAGCCAGGCTGGGCGCAACTGTAATCCGGAGGGGGCCCCAAAACACGCTCAAACTGCGCTGGTCTGGGCAGCTGGAGTTGTGCAGCGGGGAGGAATTTTCTCCCGTCGCCTGACTGGAAACGCTTGGTGGTTTTCATTCGTTCCGTGTGGAGGAAAAGTAATTTTTAAAAGTGGGTTTTAGAAAAAGGGGATGGGTAAAGGTCCGGTGAAGTTTGTGTGAGCCCTGAGGAAAAACCCATCTGCGACGTCCTGTGGTTGTGCGGTAGCCTGTTGGGGAGTGAAGCCGGGACGCTGGGCATCCATCAGTAAAAGTACTAGCTAGCCTCATGCCTCAGCTGACTAGGTTAAAGCACAGTTCAGTCCACGAGAGGCATTTCCTCTCCCCGACAAACTACTGGGACATTTAGAAATGGCCACAACTCACATTTAATTGGGAAATGAGCTTTGATTCCTTTTTAACTTCTGCAGATCTGGAATGCACTGGGGACTTGGGGGCTTAATTTTCCCCTATAGCACCAGACACTACTTTCCCCAGGCCAGGGTCCGCGCTGGGATCTGAAGGTGGTAGAGTTTTGAGAGGATTCAGGAACTGGTTTTTGGTGGTTGTTGTTGGCGTTTTCTTCCTTGTTTTTTTTTTTGTTTGTTTTGGTTTTTGTTGTTGTTGTTGTTTGTTTGCTTGTTTTTCTTTTTTTTTCCCCCTCTTTTTTTTTCTTTTCCCCCTTTCTGTGTCTCTCTTCTCCACCCCCGCCTCCCTCGTGTAATCCAACCCGGGACAGAGCTGACTCCCCTCTTTTCTGCAGTCCTCTTGTCCCCTCCGGAAAGCAAAAGTTCCTCTGGAGATTAGTCGTGACAATTTTTACACGCTGTTTCTGGTGGGAAGGGAGGTGGGGTGGGGGGGGATGGGGTGGGTCGGGTGTGTGTTAGTGTATAATATAAACCCCAATTGGTGGTATTATTATTATTATTTTGTGAGTGGTCGGGCTGCATGTAATTTGAGCTGAGATACGCAGTCTGTATTTTCCTAAACAAACGTTAGGTGCCTGTTTCATCTGTCAAGCTTCACAAGGCACCGTATACACTAAAAAATGTACTCACAAACATACAGATGTACTTATATACATGTGTATATACATGTATACATTTATGCACACATTTAGGAAATGGGGTAGATGGAGGACAGTAAGTGCAGACTTACACAGGGTGCGGTGAACAGCTCTGACGCGTAAAAAATTGTCCTTGTTGTTCCCAATTCTTAGCCTTTTTAGTCGTTCCCAGCTCTGACCTGTAGATACCTTCAAGACAGAATGCTGGAAAACCAGAGGGTCACACTGGGGCTCCCCGCAGTCCCCGCGTGTATCCCATGGTTGAAGCCGTCAGGGCGGCCCCTCTCCCAGGCTGGGCCTTTTGTAAAGGGGATGTGAACAGTCAAAACGAGACCACCCCAGCCTTAATCACGTGTCCCAGCTCTGCTGCCCCCCAGGGTCTCACAACTGGGATGGGCACAGCCGTGCTGTGCCAGGCCTCCATAAGCTGTGGTGCCCACCCAGGCCTCATTTCCCATCAGCGATGCTGGGGCCTTTCCTCTCAGGCTTTTTTTCCTTTCACCTTTTTCTTCCCCTTTCTTTTTTCCTCACGTTTACCACCTCCCCCCTGCCAGACCTGAAGGATTAACCAAGTTTCTGGAGGAGTGCAACACACGATGTGTGTGTGGAAAATGGTGCTTTTCGAGGGGGGATGGTTGCCCTCTGCCCTGAGCAGGTAGTCTGGGGTGAGTGGCATCATCCTGAGCAGACAAGAAGAAGTCGGACTGGCTCCTTCTGGGGCATTGTGCTGCTCACTCACTGCCTCCTGTAGCACCTACCAGTAGGTCTTGTGGGACATGCACACTGGGCCGCTTTGTGCCAACCTGCTACTTTCCAAAGGAAGCCCAATGCCAGGGTATGTCCACCCCGCCCCTGGCATCCCGGGTGGGTATCTCTCCCTGCCCTCCAGGTGTCCCTGTCACTGTCACCCAAATCCATCAGCCAGGTCATTTCAGTACATCCCAAGGAAGGCGACTGGCCATGGGAAAGAGGCCCTCCATCTTTCCCTGCTCAGCTCTCCAGTCCGATCCCGCACATACTTGGGCCACCCCATGGTGCATAGCCTGTTTTATTTATCTATTTAAAAAGACCCCAAAACCTCTCTTTGAAGCATACTCCTTCCCCCCGCCTCCACTGTGAAACATCATCCTGGGGTCGCAGCCGACATCCCCGCGTTTTCCGAAGCAGCTGCACATCACAGCGGGTCTCACGACCCACGACCCACGAGGAGAGTATCGTGTGTCTCACCCCACCGCTGTGCGTCTGCTGCTCCTCGCCCTCCGCGTGTGCTTAACCCAGAGGTGCGACTGCCCTTCCCCTCCGTGCACACCGCCTGCTTCCCTGGAATTATTTTAGACGGGGTTTGCAAAAAAGCGGTGTGACAGCGGCCCCCCCAGCTCCCCCTGCCCCGCCTTCGAGAAGGCAATCTGCCATCCCCGCACCCTTCCCGGCAGCGGGGCCGCGCCGATCCGTGTTTGTCATTTGTTAGCACTCAAAAGTACCATGCTCCAGTGCCAACCAGAAAGCAGGAGGTCGCCATCCCTCCAAACAGAAACGCCTGAGCACCCGACAGTCTGCCTTCTTTTCTAATACGAAAAAAAAAGAAAATGAATAAAGGAAAAAAATTAGATCTGTGCCTGGAAATAAAAAACAAACCAAACCAAAAACAAAACTAAAAAACCCCCAAACCTAACCAACAAACCACACAACAAAATAACCATGTCTGCGTGGGGAGGGGAAAGAAAGCACCCAAAGCAAAGGCCACTTGTCTAAAAGCACAAAGGAGCATAGCAATTCCCAAGTAGAGCTCCAGGAACAGAAATTAATGACCTTTTGATGCAAATTAAACCTTCCTGTATAAGGCAAATCTAGGAATAATTTTCAACACACTGGTGAATCCAGGATCAAATATTTACATTCGACAAAAAAAAAAAAAAAAAAAAAAAAAAAAAAAAAAAAATCTGCGGTGGTCTGAGCGCCGAAGCCAAGCGAAACAAAATTGTACAAAACGCACTAACACGAAGCTTTGCGTTGAAACAGCTCTGACTGTATTTTAAACTTTCGGCTTCTGTTAGGAATGAATTTGATGGGTTTTATGATTCCGAATTCGACTGGAGATTTTGATGAAGAGCTGACGTTTGGAAACGAGTTTGTAAGTTGTGAGATTGTCCTGACAACAGTGTCGATGACAGTATATAAAAATTTCCTTAATACTTACCTGTCAGAGATCACATTTATTTTACTGCGGGGATTAGTCCGTCAGGAGTAGATTTGAGCTGGACTTTCCATAGACCAGAGACCGGCTCCAAGATGTTTAAGTATTTAACGTCACTTTCTCCTCTGCAGCCGAGATAAAAAGGTGCAAAAGTATATTTGCTAGGGAAAACGCAGCAGCTCTACAACTGTAGCAACATAATCATATTTATTCATCAGAAGTTGATCTGAGTAATAAACCTTAGCGTTTCCATTGAAACTGTCAGGAGCAAGATATGTTTATTACGGCGTAATTCTGTCTGCGTGAGGAGGACGGGGGTGCGCTTTAGATAAAGTTTAAACGCAACAGAATAAACACAGTTTATTAATCGCTCCAGCCCAACACAAAAGCCGTAAATGACTGCTATCTATTTTACCACACCAAGGATTTTTAAAAATAATTATTGACACGTTTCTAGGGCTGAAGCCCAGGCATATCCAACAGCGTCGTTAGAAGGTATACAAAATTGCCTGATCCTATCAAATGGGTCTAGAGCTATATGTTTTATTGTCAGCTCCTTCCACTGAATCTTCTGAAGCTGAAAGGGAAAAGGAAAGGGCTTTTGTCCGAGTTGATCCTTGGCTATTCTGGGGCTCAGGTTGGTGTGAAAGGGACGAGGAGGTCGCTTGAAATCTCCTTTTATCTACTCCTATTTTGTCTCTGGATCAGCAACTTTGAATAGACATTACCAAATCGCTCGTAACGGAAGAAAAAAAAAAAGGCAAAAAAC